AATTCTTCCTAATAAATGTGGTAGTCCTCAAATAACAAAGTTAGGTTCTTGTTTATAACTCTTTAATATTGAGGAGTTCGACAGAAATCACTAAGGTTTCGAAATAACTTTAAAATTTGTCTCTACTATTTTTTAAATATGCGTGTCTTATAAAATCATCACAAAACACAAATTTCCTTTTTTTTCAGCCTACTTTTAGACTCATATATATTTACTTTCAAAATCTGAAGAACTTTGTGCAATTTTTAATGACATAATACTTAAGCCTTTTCTGCATTTTGAGGCACTATTCAACGTCACAACATTCAAAAATGATAGCTGAAACATATTGTGTTGTGTGTGCCATAAATTGGTGCTTAAAAATATTTATTCACAGGCTCAAACAATCAATTATGGCCTGCAAAGTTGTGGTGCATTAATTTGGAGAGTTTCGACCGCAAATCACAACGTTAATGTGGCATGTGCATCGATTATTTCGATATGCCTATCCTCGGCAGACCAATCATCCTTATGGCAACCAAAGGAGCAGCAACCACAACAAGGAGAAAATGGCTGGCGAAGCAATTGAAGCGCTTTTAATTGATTTCTTCGCTCGAGTTTCACCACACTGGCATTTATTATCAGCCTTCCGCTTGCGGCTTGTCTTGCGTAACCGATCAGAATTGATGCGACTGATTTATGTAATCCAGCCTGACTAATCTCATCCAATAGTTGCCATGAGTTAGAGCCAGAGCCGACTTGCAATTAACACGACTCAACGCGCATTCACAAAACGGCAAAATGGTGAATGTTATATGTTAAATGCTAAACGGTAAACGGCAAACGGCAAATGGCAATCCCGATCCCAATCCCAATCCCAATCCTTTCGGGTCTGAAATATTGGCCTAGCGATTTGACATATTGCCAACAAAGGAACTCATTATCTGTGCATTAAAATGGGACACGACCCGCTTTGGTTGTTTGCTTTCTCTGTTGGCTCGGCGCTACCCACTCCACGGCGTGTGTGTCACGCTTATAAAACACATTTATCATAACTAATCCTTTGGGTTTTGGCTGCCATGCCCCCGGATGCGGATGCGGATCCGCCCACACCGCCACCCCCACCGACACCACTGCTCTGTCACCGATAACACTTTGAATAATAAATAAATACAAAATACAAGCAACGACATTTTGGCAAAGGCAAACTGCCAGACGGCCAGACAACGCCGGCCGATTTTTAATGCAAACGATTATCATGTAAGGCAATATAAAAATAAATTGCAGGCCGCCAACAAAAAAATGGTAAAAATCAAGGCAGGACATGGGAAATGGAAGGGATGCCGGCCACAGTGGTTCCCTTTGTGTATACACAGGGGAAAATAATATAAATTATCTTAGCCTTAGTCTTAAACAGCTGGTGCTGGTGATACCTTGGATAGTAAATGATAAGTTTACTAGATATATCGATACTAATGTTATTAAAACTAAGTAAAAATCCATTTTAGTTTTTTTTTTTACAAATTAATAACATATTTGTATTCAATAATTTAGTGCTACTTTATTAGGAGAACCTTTTTAAGACTAAGCCAAAGTAGCAGTATCATCTATTGAATCTAACGTTTTTATTTAGCATAATTAACATATTAATACAAAAATAGATACGGAAAAATTTTAGTTTGTTTGAATTATTAAAAATTAAAAATATATTTGAAGTTCAATTGTTCAAATCAATAAAAGTCTAGAAATGGGATAGTAAATATATCTAAATGGATTTAAAAAGCATAATGATTGTCTTGTTTTTAAATGGTTTGTATAAGTTTTTATTAAAGTCAATAATAAAAGCTAAATACATCAATTATTGTATAAGTTTAAAACATAATTTGACAAGAAATCAGTCAGAAGTTATGTGCCAACAAAGGACATCAAAATGAATGGCTTCTCCTGGCGATATTTTCTCTCCGTATAGCTTTTGCTGCTGATAGGCATCGGAGTCTAGGCCCGACTTTCTGGCAAGGACCCAGACCGCCGCTAATAACGAACATCCAGGACGACACTTTAGTCCCGAAACGGAGGACAATCGAGTATCTCCTTCGAGTCCAACTCCAGCCTCATCAGTTCCAGTTCCAGATCCCGCCTTGCTTACGGTCTCAGCTCCTGCGGTTGCTGTTGCTGTTGCCTTTTGCTGCTGCCTTTTGGCAGCATTTAAATAAATTTCACACGTACATATAGAGCAGCGGTTAGTGTTTGGGAATAAAGCGGCAGAGCGAATGGATGGCCGGAGTTCACAGAAGCGACGATGCTGGCAGTTGCTGTTGGCGACAGCGTTTGGCTCGGACTACCCTGCCCTGGTAGCCATTAAAGCCAATTGCCCACAAAATCATGCCCGATATCATAATTGCTCTTCGTGGTTTCCACACCCTGTAATCCCACAGCAGATTGCAGGGCCGGCACGTTTTCAGATGCCTTATGTATCTGGGAAATAAATAATAAATAAAAAATATATTTTAAATCCTTTCTTTGCATGTATAAAAGGAAACTCTTTGAATAAAGAGGTATTTTATTATTCTTGCACATCAGAATAAACATGGCTAGTTCTAATAAATAGATAATAGTTCTAATAAATAATAATAAATTTTCGTAAAAAAACCTACATTGTTTAAATTTTATTTTAAGACAAGGCATAATAAGGATTACATTTTATAATACCAAAATATTGGTTATATAAAAGTAAAATACATCATATACACATATCTATAAAAGGAAACTCATGACAAAAAAGTTGTATTTTCTCTTGCGTTAGGAAAACTTAACTAAGTCTTAAATTAACTCCTTAAAATAACAAACAAAATACATTTTCCCAATAATATTAAGGGTATCACACAATCGTTTACTCCACAAAGTGATGAAATCGATGTTCAGCATCGTTTAGTTAGCGCCAACGGGCAGTGCAATGGTTAAACGAGTTGGACGAGTGGACCCCGAGCCCTGAGCTCATATAAAATATTGTTTATTCAGTTCGAGGCAAACTGGCAGCAAATGGTGGGACGAGGGGAGGAGGGTAAATCGCAGATGCGATAAATTTAAACACTTGTTGTAGTTGCCGTTGAAAAATTTATTAGAAACACTTTGTGGTTGTGTTGGCTTTTTGCATGCGTAGCCGATGGTCCTATTAACGTCCCATGGCCAGTGGCAGTTATATTGAATTTGCGACACTGAGCCATCTATTTCAGCATAGGAAAACAAATGTATATGAGTACGTTCTGTATCTGTATCTGTATTTGTATCGACCGACTGATGCTGCCAAAGGAAGTTCAAAGTGTAAGCGGGATACCCATTTCGTTTGTTTTGGCCACTTGAATTCGCGCCAAGTTAATTAACACTAACGGCCCGGTCCAAAAGAACGGCCAAACTAAACAAGGATTGCTGCTCCGCGAGGAGTCCTCGAATGCTAATGAAACGTTCGCTGCATAAATTTAATTGTTTATCTGCCGTCTGAGCTGGCTAAAGGCCAAAACCCGCCAAATGCCTTTTGGCCAGCAGCATCCAGCAGCAGCCTGCAGCAGCATCTAGCATCATGTGGGGAAAAAGCCCGAATAAGAGCCGGAAACTCGAGTTTGGAGTGGAAGTGGAAATGGCTCCGGAGGCGAGCATATGGCGCACGGGTGTTTGGCAAGTCATTGGCAATGCCGATGCCACGATGATGACTTTTAAACTTTCTATTAAACTATAACAGCGATGATAGATGAATAATAAAAGCGGCAAATACATAATAAAAAAGTTAAGCGTCATTGCCGACAGGCGGTTTGGCTTTTCCCGCCGGTTCGAGGCCCATCAGCGAGCTGCTTTCGCTTCGAATCAGCCATCCATATTTGTTCATAGAATTACACTGAGCAAAATTGGTTTCATGAATATTACAAAAAAAACTATATTAATTTTTTTTTAAAAGTTGTGAAAATAGTCTAGAATTTAGTTGTATTGACATAAAAGATAGGCCTATATAAGATAATATTACATAAAAAAACTTTACCAGTTACCTATTTGGTATTTCCTAATTTTTAAAATAATTTTGAATTAATTATTTAAGCTAGTCTCGTTTTTTGGGTATTATTTTAAAAATTTGTTGTTTATTTTGACCACGTTAAATTCAGATTAAACTGTCTATAGATCAGTACAAATACAAAACATTTGAAATTAAATAAAAATAATAAACTGAAACTGGTACTATTTTTTCCAGTGCAGGAAGGAAAATCGGTGGATGTGTATTTGTACGAGCTGCAGACGAAGACGGATGCTGCTGCATTTGCGGTGAGAGTGCGTGCCTCGCATAAGTTAGAACCGTTAACCGGCAGCAGGACGCAGGACGAATTGGGGAAGAGGAGCAGGAACCTAGACTGGCAGGGAAACTGTGGCAGCATCGCAGATCGAACAGATTGATGAGTTGTTGAAAAATGGCAAACTTAAACAACAATTCCATTCCGCAGACCGGGGAGCACGGGAATGACTAACGATGAGCAGAGAGTGCGGCCTTTGTGAGAAATTTTGTTTTTGATTTGGCTGGCACATAAAGTTCGGCAAAAGAAAAAACAAAAGGATGATCTGGATGGTTGGAATGCACCGAATAACCGGTTTTCAAATAAATAATAATAGTATTACAAATTTGTATTCTGACTTTTGCAGGATTGCTGAATCTGGTTGATTTAAATCAAATTTAAAAATAATATTAAAATAACCCCTCAGACAAACAAAAATATTTTCCTCAATAGAAAATACAAATGGTTAAAAAAATTACTATATTTGCTGTGCATTTATATATGCCTTATGGTTTGAAATACAATACTAAAATGTAAAAAAAAATATCAAAATAAAATATTTTTAAAATCTAAAGTTAATGCTTCAGATGTATTGACATTTGATGAAACAAAAATCAACCAAAGCAAATTTAATAAAAATGCAATGGATATAGAAGAAGATTGCTTAACATATAAACCTTCTCTGGCTCAGTTGACCTTGCCTTTGGCTTCTAGATTTTGGTGTCAAGTAAAGTTTCGCATTAAAAAAAGCCATATTTCCAATTTTGAGTTGAGACCATGAGCCTGGACTACAAAAACTGGCTACTGCAACGGCTGGCCGCTTTCTACCATTCGATCTACTTTTACGTGTCGCTCTTCTCGATGGCCTACTGTCTTGCATTGTACCAGGCGCGGGAGCGGATCTACCAGATGGAGTTATCCTGGGCCAGGATATCGCTAATCTACAGCTGTGCCGGCATTTTGGCCCTGATGCTGGCCCTGGTGGCTTATTACGCATGGAGGGCCATATGCCTGGTCTGGCGGCAGTATTGCACTCATAGTCGCGCCACTCATCGCACTCGATTCCTGTTCAACTTGTACAGAAGGCAGCAAGTGCGCGCTTTGAAGTAGCAGCGGATGGTCCTGGCATTATGATCTGATTAATCCTCGAATCGCTTTCAATAAATTAATCAGTTTCGGCACTAAATGGGCGCTGGGTGGCACAGCAATATGCAAATCGTTTAATCAAAATGTAAATGCAAATGCGAAAAATTAAAATGTTCTCTCGTCAGAAGTCGTGCAAACAGACATTTTGTAAATATTATTATTACATCCTTGCTCTTTTTGTTCGTTTTTTTTTTTACGTTTTGCGTGTGTGTCCATTTATTTATATTTTGTGGGGTCGTTTATGATTTTTTTGGCTCCCTTTTTACTGCTGCATGACGATAAATTTGCATTTAAATCACCGACACCCCCGCCAATTGGTTGTGTGAGCTGTCCTGGTTTTTCGGGGGTTCGTTCCACGGCGAGACAATGGAAGCCGGTAACTCTTATGCATATAGCACATATATATGCATAGCCGGGCGTTATTAACCACAAAGTGTCACATGATTTTATTTCGTTTCGTTTCGTTTCGTTTCGTTTCGTTTCGCTTCGCTCCGTTCACCTGCAGCTTGAGTTTTTGTGCCCATTATTTTTGGGCTGACTTCTGTCCGATGTTAAATGCTGATAAGCTCCAAAGGACATTTTGCAACATAAAATAGCCGTAAGTAGCACTTGTCTACCGAGTGGCAAGGAGTCGGGAGTTGCAAGTCGAGAGCCAGGACTCCTTGGACTTCAGAACTCCAGGACTTCAGGACTTCGGGACTGCACTGCAGTGCAGTTAGGCGAGTGCAGCTGGGATTGCAATCGCCATAAAGTGCGCCGTCGGTCGTCGTCGAGGGCAAAATTGAAGTGCAAATAAAACGCCGAGCAGTTTGGCTCCTTTTTTTTTGGCATTTCGGGACATGGCGAGGATACTCCGCGTTTCGTCGCATATTTCAACAAATTTTTTACTGCACTTTGCAGTTTGTGTAGATTTTTTTTCGACCGGTTTCCCCTTTTTTGTGTCGCTTAAATGTCACTGAAACAAGCCGGCGGAAATGGTCGGAAAGTATTTGGTTTGTTATGCTAAAATTTAAGGGCTCAGGAAGTCGCATTAAAGAGCAACAGCAAGCCAAGACAACAAAAATAACAACAGATAAATAATACGAAAAAAATGAAAGAAATATAGCAGTTCTGACAAACGATTCGCTGTTCGATTTGTTCGGGGTATTTTCATTTATTTCACGTTTGATTGATTATTGCTAGACATCAGTCCGACCATTGCAAACGAGTTTTTGTTATTTTAATTTTTTCGCATTTATTTTATCTCTCTTTCTTTTTTGGCCTCGCACTTTGTTGGGACTATTTTAGATTGCATAAATATTGCGTGATTTCTCGTAAATTCCAATGTTTATTTTATGCAAATTTCTTAAATTAAATCGAATGGGAAAAAACGCCTTTCGAGTGGATAAATGTGCAAATTATTGTTGGAACTTTAATTAGCTGCCGTTTATTATGATATCCAGCTACATAATGAGCTCTGATTTACGCTTCTCCAGCGATAATCTTCAACTATAAAAAACCAATGCGACTGTTCATTTGCATGACTGTCAATTTGAGTACGAAGTTTTATGATGTCAGAATTAAAACCAAATAATAGGACAAAAAAATGATTCGGCTGGGCTACTCTGTAAAATTAAATTAGGTTTAACACAACAATGAGTAATTGACTTAGAAGAACATGAATAATTGCCATAATATATTATAATTCAGTGGGTAAAATTTAAGATAGAATATCTATAAAGTATCAGTATTTAAGTATTTTATATTCAATGTGGATATTAACTTATTACAAACAATATATAGTGCGCCAAATGGAAAAGAAATCAATTCATGAGACCAATTTGACTTCCATCCTGAAGACTCCCCTTTTTTAGGGCTTTCTGTTGCCATGGCCATTGCCATGTGGCAGTGATGTTTATCAATATATCAGAATAAATAAGCCATTTTCGATTCGCTGGCATATGCAGTTGTCACCCATCTGCATCGCAGCCTGCCAGCGTCTTGGCTTTGGCAAGTCCAATCTAATGCTGCACGATTTGACACATTGAAAAGTCAGCAGAAAGCCTACCAGGATAACCCGCCAGCCAGGATAAACCGAGTGTGTTTGTGTGTGCGAAATTGAGTTGAAGGAACAGGGAAATGGAAAAGGAGCACATAGACCCGAATTTATAGAAAGGAATGGCTGGGACCCCAAACTCACCAGCCCACCAAACTATGCGCATCATTTTATTTGGGCACGTGCTGCTCGTCATTTAAGAGTTTTGTCTGCACTTTCGTTGCTGGAATTTTAAAATATTTTCCGTGCCAAATGCCTGCGTGGCTTTTACTTTTCGCCCTTTTGTCCCAGAGCCGGTTCGGGCACCCTTAACCCTCTAAAGCCCTCCTCCAACCCGTAGACTCAGTGTGTGTGCGGCCACAATATGACTGTTGCTGCACATATATATATATGTATATATGTATACGTATTATACAAAGTCCCTAACAAAGTGCCCAAGTGGAATGCAACATTGTTGCTCCACAGCATTCAGATGCGGCGGCATTTTCTATTTCTATTTCCATTTTTGTTTTGCCATTTTTTAGTTGCCTTCATTTCTCTCTCGCGCCGAGCGCCGTCATTTCCACTGACTGCGTTTCATTTGCCTTTTGCAAGGACTCAGGACTCAGGACACGGCTCGACCTCTTCCCGGGCACAGGACCCGACTGAGACAGACGCTTCACCAGTAATTTGGTATGCCTTTTGCTGCCTGCCACTGCTCCTGTCCCCAGGCTCCACACTCGCAGGAAAAATCAGCCAGATGGCTGCTGAATCGACCCAAAGCGAGAAATAATTTAAGGTATTTTCTAAAACACAATTGTAAGAGACTGCAAGAAAAACAGATAGTATTTTATTCTAACAATTAAGATCAAATAAAATGCATTTTAAATTTAGTAATGTTATATGATTGACTTATATAATAGTAATAATTCATTTAATAAAAGAGACCTCCTTTTTAAATATTATATGAAAATGTTGTGTATAAAAAAAGCTTATAATTATTTGATTTTTTGCAAATAGCTATATATATATGTATATTAGTATTTTATTTGCCTACATAGTTCCTATTATGTCTTGCCTGTCAAATAACATTTTTAAACTGTTTATTTAAGTACTTTGGATATTTAAGTAGGGGTCATGTTCTAAGAAATATAGCTAAGAAAAACAATTTGTCAAATATAAGTGGGCATTTTTTCAAAGTGCTGTCTCTCTTTTTCAAAGCCCTCCCACTCCCCTCCACTGATTGCTAAAAAAAACTATTTGCGCTTTTAATTTGAATTACAAATTTTGTTCGGCTGGGAAAAAAATGGCAAAAATGTAATCAAATTGGCGGGCATATGTAGACGTGTTTATCCGACTGGTTTAAGGACTGAGCCAACTGGCTTGGGTCCGTGCTGCGTTTCAGTCGTTTCAGCGCTTTAACACTCGCGAGTTCGAATTTAATTGACTGTTGGCCATATTTACATAGCCCGCCTGTCTGGCCGCTTGCCGTTAATTGTCCCGTGGCACATTATGGCCACTGGATACCCGCAAACACACTCAAAAACACCCATGGCAACGTATTAAACTTGCATGGGCTATGACATCATTGTTGATGCTGCAATTACCAAATCACTAAGTTCCAAACACCCGGACACTCGATTTACGGTCGCCCAGCATTGTAAATACGTCCGTGGAGTTTGCACATACCACACTCACGTTGTTCGTGTTCGCCCAAAATCATTTAGATTGCTAAATAATAGTGACAGACCTTTTCCAATCACAAGCAGATATTGTCAATTGTTTGCAGTTGCTCGTGCCGGAGGCTGTTAAAAAATCAATGGATATTTTTGTTTGCATCGACTGCATGCCACAATATTTTTTGTTTTTGGTGCTAATAAGCAAATGAAAAATATTATACAACAATAAGAGTTAAGCAATTAATTGCATTAGATAAATAGCAATTTACACAGCATTGAAATTAACTTTTGTAATTGTTCATAATTGCTAAGTAGTTAAATAGAAACATGAGTAATAAAATTTTTTTTTTGCGATTATCATGTTATACACTACAACATTAAGAATGGTTAGCAAGATAAATCGTAGATTTACCATTTTAAAGCTAAAAATTTATAATAATGTTTTTCTATACCGGAATTAGCTAAATGTCTAAAATTAAGATGCACAGTTCATTATAATCCTTCTGCGTACTATTTTATAATGACATTAAAGTCACAATATAAAAAACAAATAAAAATTGAATAACAATAAACAGCTGCGCTGAAAAGCCAAGAAAACTATGTTTTAAATAATCCTAAACCACGACATCTACATTTAATTTTAGAATACACAAACTACAAACTGCTAGAATAATATTGTAATATTTGTTTTACAAGTGTCGTATTTAACAACTGAAATTACTTAATTTAATGATATCCAATATTTGATAGCTAGGTGTATAAACTTTTTCTGAAATCGCCTAATGAGCTTTAATAAAATGTTTATGTTATGGGTTATAAATATAGACATTAACATATTAAATTTTTAAATCTAATATAAAACTATTATCATAAGTACCTCCGCTACCGAAATCATTCATTCGGATAGGGTTAAAATGAAATGTACTACAATAATCTAGTTAGCTTGTGTCTAACATGCAGGGGAAAGCAAAACTCTCACGAATCCCAATGCATGAGTATCGATAAAGGATAAATTTGAAGTGGTCGCTTGTCTGGTTTCGAACAAGGCCCCTGTTTACCAACCCAACCACCCCTCCAAATGTATGTAGGTACCTTATTTTTCCATGGCTGTTTTTTTTGTGTTTGGTTTTTGGGTGCTGGGGGCACCCGGAATAAACAGTTAAAAATGCCGCAAAAGTGCGCATACGACACGTTGTACGAGAGTCGCTGTCGTAGCTGCGAGCAAACAAGCCTGAACACTTCGGCCAGCACATCCACTTGCACACCCACATCCACCCTCGCCGTAAACCGTAACAAGTGTCGCGGCAAACAAGGATATCAGGATGGCGATGGCGGGGGAAAGGAGAGAGCAGGACGAGGTAGGTGGAGTCCTTATTCGGGCTTCGGTGTGCGAGAGTCCTTGTCTGCAAGCGAACCGAACAGGTTCGAGTTCGAGCTGGCCGTTACGACGATATGAACGATTCAGGGCGATTCGTCCTGGCAACGGTACTCGGGCTCAGCGCACAGTTGGCTGTCGTCCTGCGGCAGCGGTGGTTGTGTGCGCTCGTCCCTTGGATTCACCACCAGGACCCACACACTCAGCTCCTGTGCCTTGAAAAGTGTTTACTGTGCAAATAAAATAAAGCAAAAAAACAAAAAAAAAGGGAGGGGAAAAAAAACTAAGGGAACAAAAACCATCACAGAAGTGGTTAAAGTGACAAAAACTGAAACTGAAACTGTGCAGCACATTATGTGTGTGAGTGTGAGATAAGGACCTGCCGAGACATTGGCTCGAAGACTGCGACAATGGCTACGCCCAAGGCCTAGGCAAGTTGAACGCCCACACAAAAACACACACAGGACGAACAGGACGAACAGGACGACCAGGACTGGCAGCCTGGCAAATGACTTGTTTTCGGTTCTTAAATTGTTTTATTTTTCCCAGCCATTTGCCTTTGTTATTTAGCGCATTGTGGACATTATGTGGCCAGGCCCCCCTGCCATATGTTGACTCTGTGTTTGTGTGGGTGCTGCGAACAGGGTCCTCTTTAAATGAAATAAAAACAAACCAAAACCATCGACATCTCTTTAAGCTTATGGAGGAGAGCCTCATTACTGGATGATGATGCTGATGATAATGGTGAGTATCCTTTGACTGCCATAAGCCGCCTGTCATTCGCCACTCATTGCTAATTGATATGTGTAATTAAACCAACTGTCAGGGCATTTACCGCTCCGGCTGTCAGCCACAGCGTATTTATAATAAATCAACTCGATCGCTATCCACTCTCCGATGCCCATGCAAATGCACTCGCCCGATGATAAATAGTTGCGAACCCAAACACCTGACCCTCTTTGCAAACATTGCCATGGAGCGGCGAGCCTTTAAATTAATTATGTCCCACGCAGAACGGTCCTCTTTCGATTTCCCCGATCCTCGTCCCCTCCCGAGACGTATGCGTGTTCAGGCTTCCATTTCCGACGCTTCTCGCCTCTCCTACAATGCCACTTGGGCCAAGTGTCGCTGCTCCAAAAGCCAGTGGCCCAGGACTCCCGATTCCCCATTTTTCCTTATTTTTCTCACTTCCGGTTCCCGACTCTCGACCCTCGATTCTTGCCCCTGCCCGAATGCAATCAACTGAAAACTTATGCGCGGATTCCTGGCCAAGGGTTGCAAAAGGGTATATCCGGTCTGCAAAGTGAAATGGAGTTCCCCCCGAAAGCCCCATTTGGGGACTCGCCCCGACTTGATAGGGCTTGTAAATTGCATTCTTGCCATTTTCTATTTTAACATAAATTCAGTGTTCCGGCGTATTCGAAATAAATACATTTATTTGAATGTAGTTTAGACTTTGACATACTAAATATGCTAGTATTTCAAGTGCGCATTAAGCACAGTTGGGCTTTTAAGATCAGTGCGAATATGAAAATTGCAATAAATAAATAAATAACATATAATTTACGTTAAAAATAGTTTTATAAGCGTGTCTAAAAAGGATTTGACATTATATTTTATTGCGCTTTATTCAGCTTTGCTTTCCACATTTTGGTAAGTGCTTTCAGAGTAACCCGTATTTGCCTTGAAGAATAATCCATTCTATTCTCCATAATATAGCTTTAAAATACTATAAAAGTTATTACCCAAATATAGATTTCTTCCCAGTGTTGTGATTGCAATTCACTAAAATCAATACACAACTATTGTTTCCTTACAACTGGTTATTTTCGCCAAGAAAGAAGGTCAACGAACCCTCTTACTTGCATTTCAGCACCCTAATTTTCAGTGAAAGGCGTTCTAAAATCGAGTAAGCTCCGGCGCAATTCGCAGGCCCCTTTTGCTTGTCACAGTCGGCGGCTGATAGCATTAATTAAAGCCCAGTTGGTACCACAATCGTTGCTTTGGGCTTGCCATTAGCATTTGCAATGGGTTTTCGTACACCAATGGCCATGTGCACTTAATATCGGGCTTTTCGGCTTGCGAAAGTAGGCTGTCAGTTGGCCAAGACAAATGGCCAGAGCTTGAGCTTGGCTAAGACGACGATGCAGAGGAGAAGCCGTTAACACATGCTCAGACCCGACGACTGACGGGCAAATCTGACACAGATGCTTCTGCTTCTGCTCCTGCTCCTGCTCCTGCTTCAGCCAACCTTCATTGCTCATCCTGCTGATTCTGAAGCTGGGAATAAGTTGAAACTGCAGATTGAATTACGTGCAGAGGCTCGAGTCAACGTTTACCAATTTGAGAGCAGTGTGTGGGCTAGCGGCTGGGGGACCTTTCAAAGTTGATTCCAGAGGTGTGCCGCTGTCTGGCAGCCTTTCAGTGGCTGGCACACACCCACAGCAATCCTTTGGACCACCCCCAGAACCACCACCCAAGCCACCCACTGCACCACCTAGTGCAGTCACTGCTCCACCCACTTCGCCACTGCGGAGGCCCCAACGAACGTCACCTGACATTGTTTGCTCTGCGGATTTGCATTGTGGTTGGTTGGCGGTGCAGTTTGTTGGCTCGGCTTGGCTCGCCCAGCTTTTCCCTGCTTTTCCTAGCCATCTTGTGTTGATACACACTAACAAAAACAAATAAAATATAATATTATCTATTATATTCAAAAAAAAATATATACTTCATCATATTTGCTTGGGACATAGTTGCATATTTAATATAAAGATAATACTCTTTAGCATTTACAAACATATTTAATTTTTTGAAGGGATTTAAAAAAGTATATATAATAATATTATATTTTATTACATTTTCCCTCAACATTTTGAATAATTAATTATACTAATTTCATAAATTGTTGATCTTAGTTTTCTTATTATTTTGGATCATGCTGATTTAAACCATATTTTTTTCAGTACCCAATAAACCATAAGCAAACACCTTATGTTGCCTTGCTTTTCGCTCTGTGTACTTGTGGGCTACGTAATAGTATAGTTGCCCATCCCCGGGCAACTTAAATAAATGTTTTCTATAATCAAATGGTAATGCAGTCGGGGCCACAGCATCCCAACAGCCAGGGCACACTGCCCGAAAACCTAGCCAAGCGTTCAAGGCAGACTCTCAGCTGGTTCATTCTTAACTCAACTCAACTCAAGGCTTCAGAAATCCAAAACCCTAAAACCCAAGAACTCAGGAGCCCACGAACCGAGGGAGGTCAGCATCGTCTTGTTTTGAAGTAATTACATTGTTCGCTGGCATCGTAAAGTGAAGTGAAAGGCGTTAAAGTGTTAAGTTGCTTGTTAATTTTTTCCCTGCTATCCTTGGGACTTCAGTGGCTCCTGGTTCCCAGGATCCCAGGATCCCAGGATCCCAGAGAAGTAGCCTGATGCTTGGTTTTGTTGTGGCTTATAGTCGCGCCTGATTAATGAACCGTGGCTATGTAGCCGGATTAAGCTCGCCTTAGATGTTGCTGCTGCTGGTTTTGCTGCTGGTTTTGCTGCTAGTGTTGCTGCTAGTGTTGCTGCTGTCAGAGGAGCGATGCCTCCTGCGGCTGCTGTTGCTTGTAATTAAGTTGAGTGTAATATAAATAACTGTATTTGCACAGCCAGGGTCTGGAAATGTTTCATTAATTCTGTTATTTAGCTAAGTATGTCCAAGTTTGGCGGAATGCTCTTTGGGGTTAGCAGCGAGAGCCTTTTAAATAGCAATCAGTTTAAATTTCAGTTTTCATAGAGAAGCAAAAACTATACACAGGAAGAAATGTAATATTAATTATAGTAATGCATTTAAATATATAACTGCATTATGTCTTACAAAATTGTGATTTTATAATAACAAAATGAAATATTAGTCTGTATATTAAGCAGATATGTAATGCATACAACATATAAAAAGTAGATTTTATTTCTAGTTAAAACAGAGTTACAACAGTTTATAAAGAATTCAATATTTAATATTAAATTTTCTGTGCAATTAACTTTTTTTCCAACCACTTTAATATCGTATGCCAATTAACAGCCGTTACGCCATAAAAACTAGCTCGACAAAGTGCAGCATACTTATAAGGGCATACTGATTCAAAAAAAAAAAGGTGGCAAAAATAACCACGCCTTGCTGCACACGTGATTTGCATTATTTGCTGGTAATTTAATAAAGTTTTTGAATTTTTCGCGCCGGAGTCACGCACTCTGCCACATTGAAATGCAATTAAAAAAGCGCGAGACGCGCTGCAAAAATAATTTATTGAACACAATAAACAATGTGTTGCCATAGTTCGATGCAATCTTTTTCCTTTTTTTGTTTTTTGAGCCCTGTTGTGCTTTGTTAATTATATTGTAGCCCCGATGTGCATAATTCCGGCGAGTGTGTTGCCATGTTAACATACTCACACTGACGCCCGAATAAATTATGGCTAGCGATTTGTGTTTATTTGCAAACAAGCGTTGACATCGCTGCACCCGCGTCGAGCATTATCGTTGCATAAATTTATGGCACATTATATGTTTTTTGCACTAACGGCTACAAATTGCATAATTGCAATTAGATTTGTGAGCCTGCTTAACGCTTATATGGTTGGCAAATGCAATTAAGTAACATAGTTCGGGGCGCTGCCAAATTCCACCCAGATCTATGGCGGTAGACAACGCATAGCCGGAATTTTCCGCCAGACCCGAAACCGAAACAAAGGAAAATGGGCGCCGAAAAGAAAAGCGGAAAATGCTCAAAGACTTACACGCTAAAAACGCTATAAACAGATAAGACTCGTGGCCAAAAGGCGCGACTGGCGGTGGCAGAAAGTTGGCAAGTGGAAAGTCAAGTTGGGCTCACGCTATTTATAGGCAACGCAAGCTTTTGTTTTCGATGGCCTTTTCATTTGCAGTCAGCACTGCACAAACACCCGAAATACAAAGCAAAATAGTAGAAAAAAGAAACCAAGTTTGGCCAAAAAAAAAAACAAAAAAAACATGAACAAACTGAACGTCAGTTAACTTTGGGCCATGCACAGAGGCGAATGACAATGGAGCCCTCGGCACTGCATTGTTCGCCGGACTTTCCTTATATCTGCCCCTCGTTTTAGCCCCCCGCTGCCCTGTGAATCTGGCCATAAGCCCGAGTGTGTAGCCACTAACTGCCTATGGCTCTGAAACGCTCAACTACTCTAAGGTTGCCGCTTTAAGTTGTCAAATCCGCTGCACAAAAACGCTCAATATACTGAAGCCCCCCCAAAAAAATATAGCTAAAAGCCCTGGAAAAACAACGACATTGTTGCCCGCCTGCAAATATTTTCGTAATTATTTTTGCATGCAAAGTGAGGATTTTTCCAATTTTCACTTATCAAAGCGCACGTGGCCAATATGCAAAAATGCGCAGGCAAAAAATCGAAACTGTGGGCAAAATGTTTCTTTTTCGGGGAACGAAACAAGAATACGCTACAATGTTTTGTTAGTTAACTTTTTATTTTAAATTTAATAAAGGCGTTATGGGAAATACATATAGTAATTCGATTCAAAGACAAAAAGAAGGCAGCTTGATAAAAAAATCCCTTATAAGAACATTTAGTGCTTTATTTTTTAAGCATTTTTATAAGAACACCATGCTCGAAATAATGGTTTCCATAATGTATCATTGAAATACCATTTACAGAATCATTACCATTATTTTTAGAACTAAACGTCTGTTTTCGTCTGCTTTATTGG